GAACCAGACATACTGGACTACCTTTTGACTGTTCACGATTTCAAAAGGTCAGAAATAACTAGTGTCATCAATTTGTCTTCTGATCATGGCAAAGTGTTAGTGCCACGTCAAAGCCCATGGCCTCATAACTGGGGCATTTAGGAGAGAACTTGTGGTGTGAAAGGAAGCCAGACAGAACGAGGAGGATGTAATCTTACTCTGTGAGTATACTGCATAACAGATATTTACATTACGAATCATAACCGTTGAAAATTGCAGTTATGAAGTAGAAATGAAATAACTATATGCTTTGTGGTCTCCACAACCTGAGGGACTATACTAAAGGGTCACAGGGCAAGGAAGGTTGAGAATCATGGCCTTGGAGCATAAGTTTCAGGCAGTTGTAGATCACTAGACTTGGATGATAGGGACCCAACTCAGGTCCTCTGCAAGAGTCTTATTAACACCTGTGACATCTATCTAGGACCTGGCTAATTTTTATTTTTAAATAGATTAAAATTTGACTTATATTTCACTTTCTCTCTTCTTCTTTTTTCCCCCTCTCACCTTCATCCCTTGATATGGGAAGGTCATTTGTCAATCTGTTGTTTCATTGGTTAATCAATAAAGAAACTGTGTGGCCTTTGATAGGACAGAAAATTAGGTAGGCAGAGTAAACAGAACAGAATGCTGGGAGAAAGAAGCAGATTCAAGCAGACGCCATGCCTCTCTTCTCTGAGACAGAAGCAGGTTAGGATCCTTCCTGGTAAGCTACCACCTTGTGGTGGTACACAGATTATTAGAAATGGGTTAATCAAGATGTGAGAGTTAGCCAATAAGAGGCTACAGATAACGGGCCAAGCAGTGTTTAAAGGAATACAATTTGTGTGTTGTTATTTTGGGTAAAGCTAGCCGGGTGGCAGGAAGTGGCCCGCTGTTCATATTACAACAATCCCTCCCTCCCTCTCTCGCTCTCCCTCTCTCTTTCGTTAAGTTGCCTTGGCCATAGTGTTTTACTGAAGCAACAGAAAAGTAACTAAGACAGAGACCTTAGTTCTAGGAGAAGCAAATCATAGCCAAATATCAGAAGAGGGAATCTCAACTAAGAAAAGTCCTCCAAAACTAAGTCTGTAGTGTGGGGAACTTTCTGGGTTACTAGCTTGGGTTATATAAGAAAGCAGGTTGAGAAAGATGTGAGGTGCAGGCCAGTAAACAGCCCTCGCACATGGCTTCTGCTCCAGTTTTGCCTTCAGGTCGGGTCCTGTCATTCCTCGGTAGCTGACTGTTGCTGGAAGTGGGACACGAAGTGAGCCCTTTCCTCTGGAAGGTGTCTCCACTTGTTTGTCACAGTGACAGTGGCAAACCAAGACACTGCTGAGTTGAACAATGCTGGTATTTTATTTTATTTTTATTTTTGAGTTGGCAGAGTTAAGGAAACTTTGCTCACCCCCTGTTTTTTTTTTTTTTTTTCCCAGGATGCATCTTATTTTATGCTTACCCAGTCTGGACAAGATAGGAAATACCTTATTCCCAGGAGGATCCCACTGGAGTGATCATTGCCTTATTTGACATGCAGCTAGTTCAGGGTAGTTTTAGCTCTCTCTCTCTCTCTCTCTCTCTCTCTCTCTCTCTCTCTCTCTCTCTCCTTAAACCTGCACATATAAGTGAACATATTTAAGTATAAACTGCCCATAATGGGTATCAGGGTTCAATTAAAGGCACCACGAATAGTTAAAGAGGGTTAAAACTCTGAGGGTAATGAAGTATTCAAAACGGAAATTGTCTGTCCATGTTTCTTTATTCTTGTCTATATCCTTACTCTCTTCCTTGTTCCCTGTTCTACATCTTTTTTTTACCGGTTACAAATGTTCCCAGTCATATACAAAAACCAGTAATTCCCCATCCCTAGCAGGCTCCAGGGCTGGGATTCTTTTGCCCCATAATCAATCAGATAAGGATTTTCACAGACACACATAGAACTGTGGGAGCGGCTAGTACACGTTCCTTGACTGAGATGTGTGGGAATTCCGTTAGCCAATAGCTTTTAAGATACTGGTCCATTTTGGGTGTGGTCACGTGTACTATATATACAAATGTAACAGCGTTAGTGGTCCCTTGGCTGCTGGATTTGGTTCCAGTTCCCAGCTAATGCAGAGGACTGAGGATCATAGAATTTTCTGGTTTGCATTTCTGGCTTGTGGGCTCTGGGTTCCTTGAAATTCTGACCAACTAAAACCTTCTCCATATATGAAATTGATTTAATTGTTCTTAATCTGCTAGTATATTTGTTGGTATTTAAACTGCCACCACTGCAGAACCACATCGGGATTGTTGGCGTGGCTACCAAATGTGTCTCCCTGCCCTGCACCCGCAACCATGACACCTGCTGGCCAAATAAAGATTACTATAACACGGCATTTTACTGAAAACTTATAATGGAGGTAGGTTTATTTGATTAATAAATAAATAAATTTGAAAATTGTATAGTGGCAGACAATATTACCATCCAGGAATTTAATAACCTTTTTGATTCTACTATGGATGGAATTCTGCATGGATTATATGACATGCCTAGTACATCCATTCTTGTGATCATGGGACTTAGCCCTGTTCTTCTATTATATACTTAAAGAAATGGTTTGATAACAGAGTCAAAAATAAGACACTTTTAGAATGATACAGTCTTTATAGACTAATAATGAAAAGCTAGCTGAAAGGATTTATATCATTGAAAATGAAAAGTTAGCTGAAAAATTGATACCTGAAAAAAATTGATATCCTGAAAAGTGTATATATAATAAATAAATAAAATAAAAAAAAGAACGTCAAGGCCATGACACCAACAAGTGTTAGCTGAGGTATTTACATCCCACGTTTTCTATCTTTGATAATGTTTCCTATACAAGGCAGTCTAGGTCACTTCAGGGTTAGACTCCTGTTACTTATTAAAGAATGGAATTCTACATGTGGGAGAATTAGTCTCAGGTAGGAATAAGTTCCCTAATTGAATATCCAATGCAATATGTTCAGTCCTGAAAACGTATACACACAACTAACAAAAATGTATTCAGCAGATTTTATTCATATATTTATATGGCCTTATTCTTACATATTTAACAAGGAGGAATTGGAAGGAAAGAATTTGGGGAGGAATGGAAAGAGAACAAGGAAGGGGAAAGTAATATAATATATCTTAATTTAATTTAATAAATTTTATATTTAATTTAAATAAATTTTAAACTAAAAAGCAGTTAGAGAGACAGCTGAGTAGGTAAGAGCACTGGGTGTTGTTACAGAGGACACAAGTTCCATGCCCAGAAACCACCTCCTGGCTAACCATCTCTAGTCCAAAGCAATCTGATGCCCTCTTCTGGTCTCTGCAAGTACTGTGCACAGACACGTGCAGGCAAACACCCATATACAAAAACCCAAAATTATAATGTAAAAGAATGGAATTCTCTACAATGATGTCACAGTTTTGAGGTAGACAGCAGGCAGGGTAGCTAAAATGAACTCATTCTGGTGCTGTATGGAAGCAACTCTGTCTACCCTCTGAGCCAGTATGCCATAGGTTATTCTGAGGTTAGAGTAGCTTAGCAGGACTAAGCTATCATCTAAAACAGTATCCACAGTGCTGACAGGTGACTTTTCCTTGATGCTTTCTGCATTCATGGTCTATGCATTTGTATGTGTGAGAACTGTGGCAGCAATACATGTTTCAAATACACTGATACATTTAAATGTAAATCTAAACTATAGATTTCATCTGCCTGAGTGGCTACACTTGCAGTCTTCTGTCTCTATTTAAATTGTGCTCTGTATATCCTGGTGCCTAAAAGAGACTTAAGGATATTAGCTTATGTGGACTATAAAATCTCTTTTAGTCTGGTTCCTCTTTTAGCATTGACTGGAGCTGGATGCAAGCTGCTATTAAAGAGATACTATTTATTAAATTTTTAAGTATTTAAAGTGAATTCTTCCTGGGGGAAGGCCTTTTGGAAAAATGTTTCTGAGAAAGCTATCCTATGTGACCAATTGTTATATTGTTATAAGTATATTGTTATATACTTAAAAGATAAATGAACATTTACGAACTAGCATGCTAATCTCTAGCAGGCCTAGTTAGCATACTACTTTTCTTTGGGGTATTTTAGAGGCACTCCTCCCTTAGCTAAATTCTACTTTGTGTGACTATGTCCTAAGCATTGGTGAATCCTTTGAATCACAAATTCTCCTCTTCTGCCTCACAGCTTAGTGGAGTGCTACCTGAAAGACCCCCGAAGAGGACTTCCCTCGAGAGGAGACTCCCCCAAGCCAAGGAACAGGCCGAGACCACAGGGATGCAAATAGCAAGAGGTTTATTGGGTAAACACAGGTACCTGTGACTTGCGTGCCTGCCAGCTGGGAGGAGGGCTTTTTATAAGACAGAGGGCAGCAAAAAGCAAGTTTTATAGAAGCAGAAAAGCATGGTTATCGGTCGGGCGGAATGGGGGGTGGGGTGGGGGATGAATGGTTTTCCTCTCCCAGCATGTGTTGTAATTGGAGCGGCTGAGCTGCGTCCCCAGCACCCCGGCCGCCTGGCTAGCTTATGCCCCGAAATAACAACACACAAATTGTATTCATTTAAACACTGCTTGGCCAATTTCTATCCAGCCTCTTCTAGGCTAATTCTCGCACCTGGACTAGCCCATTTCTAATAATGTGTGTAAGCACCCCAAGGTGCTCTTACCCGGGGTTCTTGAGGTACGTCTTCCTCTTGTGCAACATCCTCTGATTAGCCTCTTCCTGAGTTTGTATACTTCCTTTTTAAAACCGAACCCATTGATTTTTATTAACAAGAGACCTTTTGAATTTGGCACAAATTTCTAGTCAATCTGGGATAGGTCTGTGTTTAGGGTGGAAGCCACGACTGGGACCAAACTATTCCTGTCACTCAGACCTCACTAGCCAATAAGAACCTCCAGCAAACCTGACGGTCAGATGGGAGGGTTCTTCCGGTCGCCAGACTTCTGGCTCCGCTCCTCCCACCGCGGAAGTCGGAAGCTACCGCCTTGTGCAGCCTAGTTGGTTTGGCTGTGGGGAGAGCACCGGTAAACTAGCAAAGCCGCTTCACAGTGACTGAGGGGCTGCTGTTTGCAGACGGGGAGGAGTGGCCCGCCATGGTGAGCGAAGGGCTGCTGTCCCCAGGCTGGGAGGAGCGGCCGGCTGAGCCGCGGGAGCCGGGGTGGCGGGTCCTTCCCGGGACTGGGTGGGAGCGGTGGCCGGAGTTCGGCGTGGTCCTGCGTGGTCCCGTGTGGTCCCGCGTGGGTGTCTGTGGGCCGGGCGGCAGCCTCTGAAAACTTCACTCCGTGGACTGCGTCAGTGCAGGGCATGGGGAGTGGTACTGTGCTTGGAAATAGCCTTGTTGTTGACGTCGCTGTGAAATGCCGTCTCCTGTGGTGTTTCTGTTTTCGCCGTGGAAGACAGATTTGCCAAACTCGGAGAGCTCTGATCTCTCTAATGTCTTCCAGAAGTCCCACACTTTTAACATTGAACATTTAGGGTCAGGATCCGTCTGGAGTTCATTTTGTGGAGTTTGTAAACAATATCTCTGTGTAGAGTAGCATCCCACTGCCAAACTGGTGTAGACGAGCAGAATTGGTGCTGATAGACTTGATGGCATAAGGATTTACCAGTTGTTAGGAGACTTTAAGTCCGTAAAGTAGAATTTAGATAAGGGAGGCTGCCTTCCAAATACCTCAGAGATAAGTAGTATGCTAACCATGCTTGTTAGAGATTAGTATAATAGGATTTGTTCCCTAGGATTAACCGGCTATGTTTCCATAAAAAGGCGACAACCCTGATTTATAACCAGCAGAAAGGCCCGTCCTACCATCAAAGATCGTGCTTCTAACGTGCTGCTCCAGAGCCAGTACAGGGTCACAGCCAACACTGAGTCCTGCTGTGCCATACAGGTATCTGAATTCTAGAACAGCTGCGTCTCCAATCTTTCTGAAAATCAGTTTTGAGTGTCCCCTGTGTTGACTGAGGTGGACTTGGACCTGGTCTGTAGCCCCACGGAGCATCGTCTTTGTTATCCTTCTGACTAACCACCCCGAAATCATTGATTACAGGTCTGTGGCACAAATTTGAGTCACATCATGGACGGCCCATTGTACTGACAAGAAAAGAGTTTGGGTGTGGAACATGGCTTTTCCTTTAGAGTGGAAGTGGAGGAATAGTGTCTTGTCTACATGGTAGGGGGAAACGACTAGGCAATAGCTAGATGACAGGCTAAGGTTTAAGGCGGTGAGCTGCAGGGGTCTCCATCATAATAAGGGCATGATGAGACAGGGTGAGTGATTCTTTCCTTGTAAATGAAGACACAGAATTGGGGGATGTGCAGTTTAGGAAGGATAACTCAGAACTACTCAGTATTCAGTTTCCAATTAGGGAGCACTCCTATGTAGGTTTGGAATTCTGGTTGACACAGTTAAGTCCGCTCAGAGGTTTGAGACACAGGCCATTGGCTGTAACTCTGTCAGCTTACAGCACTCAGCAGCTAACATTTTACATGGCCAAAGTCCTACATTGTCTTATTAATGGCCTTCTCTCTACCAGGGAAGTGCCTACTCTGTTTCAAAGTCAGTATAAGTGAGTACAGTAATTCTTCCAATTATTTTTCTCATTTTAAAAAGGCAATTTTATTGGTATTTTTAAAATTTCATCTTCTTTAAATGAATTACTGCTCTGATTAAATACATTACTTCTCTAATCTCTATTTCATTTTTTGATGTTTCCTAGTCACTAAGAATTTCATTCCACTTTTTCTTAAGTGCTGTTTATTTATTTATTGCTATCAGTTTAAAACAGTGGTTCTCAACATGAGGTGGGAGTGGCATCCAGGATCAAATGACCCTGTCATAGGAGTCACCTAAGACCACTGGAAAACACAGGTTCAGTATTACCATTCATGGCAGTAGCAAAATTATAGTTATGAAGTAGAATTGTAAATAATTTTATAGTTGGGGGGTTGCCACAACTTGAGGTACTAAAGAGTCAACACACTAGGAAGGTTGAGGACCACTAGGTTTAATCAGTGTCCCCTGTACCTCAGGCTCGTCTCACATTCTGTAACTGAGAATTGCTCTGAACACCTGTTTCTGCTGACCAGGGCTGGACAGACCGTCCTTCCCTTCAAGGCTAGGCCTTGACTGGTCAGGTAGAAGGGAACCTAGTGAATGAGTAACTTTACTGGGAACTTACAAGTGAAGAGAGACTTGTATAAGAAGTGAGTTCACTGACCAAGTGTAAAGCAGGTACAATCACAGCTCAGACACAGATGACCAAGAACGAGGGTGTAAGGTTTTCTGCTGTGGACACCAGTTGACATTCTCAATGAGCAATTGGGTAAACAATATTAGCTGATTGATAGATGTCCTGACTGGCCATTCCAGGTTCATAGAGCAGGAAATCAAGAATGTGGATAAAGAACTGAATTTAAAGTAAAGCCAAAGTACTATAGTTACGCTAGTTCAACCCAAATTTAAGAACAGGATAAAATGGTGTGGCCCTGGCTAACATGAGTGTTATTTTCATGGTTTAAGCCAGAGAGACATCTCATGAGAAGTACTTGGTGTGCTCTAATACAAATCCCTAGTCTCTGGATCACAGGGCCGTAAAGCCTGTTTCAACTTTTTAAAATAATTTTGGGGGATTATAATTACATCATTCCCACCATTTCTTTCCAGCCTCCAGGCCCTCCCATAGGCTCCTGATTGTTTGCTAATTTATGGCCTCTTTTTGCTTTAACAACAGTAGTGTTTGAATGGGACCTGTGTTTGGCCACAGACTTCCCAGCTATGAAGCAGTGGGTTGACTGGCCATTGAGTTGTAATGGAATGTGCACACAAAGGACCCTGTGCCTCAGAAGAGGAACAGGAAGTGCTCTGGGAGAATGGAAGAGTCTGCTAAACTACAGATTTCCCAGATCAGGACCCGTCTGCTGGGTAGAAGGGCGGAGCTGGAAAGGCTGGTCCTGTGTGAGTCATTTGATCTCTGCTCACCCAGCAGGAAGCTGCTACTGTCCCAAGGCCTTGCTGGGTGGCTCTAGCTAATGAGGGACTCAGAGAAAAGGCTTAGCAATCAAGAATAGCAGTAGGAGGTAGCTTGCAGGTTCTCCTGTAGAAAGCTGTAAGGAAGACCACAATACATGCCACGGTGAGTGTGGTAGCCACTGTCCCCAGACCAGGAGGAGCAGGTTGGCTCTGCTATCAGAATCCCAGCTGCTGGGACTGGGATGGACCTTGAGCCAGACTGTTTCTCTTCCTATACATGGTGACCTGGGCCGTGGCCCCTTGGCCTCTGAGTCTCCCTGAGTGCTGATTCCCTGGGAAGAAGGAGGCTCTGCAGCCCTGGCCATAGGAAATCTGGTGCTCGTAATAGAACTGTCCAGTGTGCACACACAGGCATTGCTTTTGGTGTGCGGTAGGAAAAGAGATGGGAAAACTGGAGGTCTGATCGCTAGACGTTTTTAAGACTGCACTCCGCATTCAGTTTTATCTGATAAATTTTACAAATAGTTTAGAATGTGGTAGAAGAGAGGTGATGGGTATCATCCCTCAGCAATACTTGATTGGGGAAGTTCATTTCCAGGGGACAAAGGAGTTTCTGAGCTACGGAAGTTTCTCAGGTGTGCATGGTGTTGTGTAGGTTAGGTGGATAGGTCAGAGTCCACACCTTGTGCCATAGTTTATGCGGCAGGAAGCAGACTTTAAATTATTTTTCAATATTGTTTTGTGTGTGGGCTTCTTTGGGGCTGGGCTTGCCTGGATCCACAGGGCGCATCAGAGAGGGGTTACAGAGCCATAGCTTAGCTTCCTGAAGACCTCATTTTTCGGAGAGAGCTCCAGACCATGGGGCCTCTCTGTGTAGATGAGAGATCAGTAACTATGTAGATGAGAGGGTCAGAAATATAATCTTGTAGGAGCCACTGAGTTGTTTTTGTGAAGTCTGTGATTATTTAATTTCTATATATCTGCAACCATAAAAAACATTGGTCAAATTCACATTTTCTCTGCCTGAGTTTCCTTGGGTCTTTTGATAAAAGCTTGACTATCTTTTTGTGCTTATGTTTCTGGCTTTTTCTCTCTATCCCCTTATTTTTTTTCCACAAACATTGTGCACATTCTTTATTGTTTTAGCTTTGTGGTGAGTATAGAAGTCACACTCTGTCATTGTGTGTACTATTCCTTCCCAGTCCTATTGAGAATTCTAAAGTTTTTCAACATGACATATAGGTTTGGAATTAGCTTTCCAGTTTAAAAAAAAAAATGGGGGATTTTTCTTTGAATTGTATTGAATTTATGCTGCAAAGTTGAACATACCCAACATCTTTTTGTGTACTATGTCATGTTAATGGCATTGTTAGCAGTAATATAAAAGGGTAACAAATATTCTACATAATCCTTTGTTTAGAAACTACAGTAAGTGCGTCAGTCTGAAACTGATGTGAAATAATGTCCAGAGCCATAGCAAGAGCAGCAGTGTAGAGTTTAGTGACACAGAATACATTGTTATGGTTACATAAAAGCTGTCCACCAAGTATGACTTAATTGAGAAAACAAAGCGTGAAAATCAAACATGCTCCAGAATTGAACAGTGGATCTGACACGGGACTGTGTAGCAGCACGCGAAGTAAACTCTGATAGCAGTAGGTTGGGATTTCCCACAGATGTCAACTAAAATTAATTAAAACCGTGTTGCATTGTTATAGTTGATGTAAAATCGCACATATTTAGTGTGTGTATTCTGATATATTTGGACATATTACCTCCATGCATTAACCCCATTACCATAAACAACTCAGCAAACAGTGTTTTCCAGACATCCTTTTCCTGTCCGTGTGTTTGTGAGTGCCTACTGTCTACAGACTCCTCATAAATGACAGAATTGCTTTGCATCCTGGGGATCATCTCAGTATGTCTTCCATGCACTTGAGATTAGTATTATAAAATATCAGAATTCCCATGTTCATGGCAGCTATGAAATGACTGCATAAATATGAAAATAGCCAAAATGTTAAGTTGTTGAGATCAAGGAGGGTGTCTTAGGAGGCCATTGTGCTGAATGAATGAAGGCAATAGCAGAGGTTAGACGATGATACACTTAAAGGTCTCCACAGCCAGTGCTGTATCAGGCATGATCCATTTCTTTTGGATTTTCCAATTTGGTGGAGTGCAGGTTTTTAAACTATGTTCTTATGGTTCTCTGAGTTTTCCTTGGTGTCTCATAGGGACTCATTTTCAGTTCTGATTTATTAGTCTAGATAGTCTATCTTTTAGTTAGTTTGGGTAAGGTTTGTCTATCTTGTTGATTGAAAGGTTTCTGTACCTCGATAGTAAAGCTCTCCACCGATGCAGTAATCCAAGTCAAGACAAATTAAGAATTAAAAGTCTAGATTTAATGAGTAAATGCTCCTGGATGATTTTTTTCACCCTCAGAGAGGAGAGAGGGAGAACAGACCGAAAAGCCACATGGCCGTTCTCTAGTGGGCAGCTTAAATACCCTGTCAGTGTGGCCTTGAGCATCTCTGGGGTAGAAGCCACCATTTGGTGGCTTTCCTGAGATGGGGCACAGTTTGGAGAGAGGGAGAGAAGTGAGGGGAGGAGGACCAAGTTGGAGCTTCTATCTGAACATTCCAGATTCCTTGAATATATGGGCATTGGTTCATGGTCTGGCTACTTCCTGTGGGCATGGGACACGTGAAGGGGGGGTCCGGGAGTCAAAGGACTCTCGCTCAACGGTTGGTATGGGTGTAGAAACACTTTTTTAACTGCCATCCTGGAGACCTCAGGAATCTGTTTCTTGAGGAAGCAGAGAGGACAGGTTGCTAGGCAAAAAATAGATTTTATCATTGGTCCTGTGAACGGGACTAGCCATGGAGCGTGAAGATTGTCTGCAAGAATAGAATGGAGATGCGCCCTGGTTGTACTGATAAAGATGAATAAACAAGGCAGAAGAGCAGCTAGGCTCTTCATTAGGATATTTTAGAAAACTGGAGGGTGGAGGGTCCCAGCTGCTGGACGGACCATGTGTCCTGAGTAGGTGCCCACTTAAGTCTGGAGAGATGGTACCAGCATTGATGTCCCAGGAGCTTGGAAGCTGATGGGGTGGTGAAGATGATGGTGTAGGGTCCTGTCCACCAGGGCTCGAGAAACTTAGGCATTAGCTGTTTGAGGAGTACTCGGTCCCCTGGGAGAGTGGCGCAGCTAAGGTGCAGATGGGTCTATTGGCATGGGGGCAGGGAGAGAGCTTTGAGATGTGAACAGAGAAAGCAGAGGTAAGGAAGGCACCTGATCAGTGGGGGAGTTAGGTGGGGATGTGGTGGTTAAGGAGGAAGGGTCTTCTCTAAAGGAGCTCAAAAGGACTTAGGGCCTGTGGGAGAATGTGGGGTTGTCTGGAGGTGGGAAAGGGCAATGGGGAAGAGGGAAGGTCAAGATAGCCTGAGTTCAACAGAGAGCTTGCTGAGCTGTTGTTTAATGAGTCTGTTGGCCTTCACAATCTTTGCCAAGGATTGTGGACGGTAAGGATGTGGAGTTTCCAGGAAATGTTGAGAGCTTCCGGCATGAGCTCCATGACCCTGGAAGTGAAAACTGGCCCATTGTCCATTTGTTTGGTCTGTGGTACACCAAACCGAGGGATAATGAGTTCAGGAGTACCTGAGCCACCACAGCTGCTGTTTCCCTGGAGGTAGGAAGCACGTCTGTTCATCCTTGATTGATCTCGTTGATAAGGTATCAACAAGAGTTAGAAAATAATGGAGTTTTTTTATGAGTGGGTATATGGGTGAAGTCAACCTGCCAGTCCTTGCTGGGTTAGTATCCTCGAAGCTGGTGCGGGGCTGATGTATCTCGAGAGCTCATTGGTTTGGCCTTGGCACACATCTGGCAAGAGGAGTGAACCTATAGAATAAGAGCTTGAAGATAGGTGAGGTCAAAGAGGCTCTGAGAATAGAAGAAAGCTTTGGGGCCTGTGTGTAAGGTCTGGTGGATGTCTAAAATGATGGCCATTGCTTGGACCTGAGGCTGAGGCAGTTATTTAAGGAGAGTTATCCATCCTTTGTCTGTGTGGCCCCCTTTAAAAGGAGTTTGTTCCTCTCCTCTGGTTGATAACAGGGTGCTAGGAGGGTATTAAAAACAAAATATGTTCTGTTGATCCAGAGGAGCTGGAGACCAGTCCCTGGGCTGTTGAGTCAGCCCTGGCGCATTGCCCGAGGCCACTGGGTCCTTGGAGGACTGCATCAGCAAGGAGCTGGAGGGCCTTCAAGAGCTTGGCTATAAGGGGTTTGTTAACTATGGGAGTGCCCTTTGTAGTGAAGAAGCCCATTTGCCTCCAAAGGACAGAATGGGTATGGGCTATTAGAAAGGCGTATTTAGGGTCAGTATAGAGGTCAGCCCCTTCAACCTTGGCTGTCTGGAGCTCTCCAGTCAAAACAGTGAATTTGGTCTTTTGTGAAGAGGTCCCCATTGGGAGGCAGGTTGTTTCAGCTGTTTTAGTGGACGTGACCACTGCAAGTGCTGCCTGGTGGCTGGCCTAGAACTCAGAGATCCGCCTGTCTCTGCCTCCCGAGTGCTGGGATTAAAGGCGTGTGCCACCACTGCCCATGCGGCACGCCTGGCTCTTTTAGTTTTTATGTTCTTGGCTGGTAGGTCTGGAATGGAGGTTTCTGTGCTTGTCAAGCATATGCTGTTGTGCTGATCTTCAGCTACATCTTGAAGTTTGAAATTTGTCAGAGGGTATCATTCTGTTTTCCAGGACAGCATGTATTCATGACTTTAATACTGCCCGAGCCTTTTGAACTGTTGGATTGCAGTTGTGTGACATTTTTCCTACCTGTTGTATATGTTTTGGTGTTTTTTAAAGATGAATATGAGTATTTTGCCTGTATGCATGGACATGTACCACATTTGTGCCTTGTCAGATAGAACCTCAGAACTCCTGAGCTTGGGGTAATGGATAGTTGTGAGCCCCCACGGCAATTGAACCCACTTATTTGCAAGGTCAGCAAGCAGTTTTAACTGCTGAGCCATCTCTCCTGCCCTATGCTGTTTATTTATGATCCACATTTACATGGCTAATATATTCACCTGTCCATTTGTAACTGTTTAGACATGCATTCCCTTCTAATAAGATCCTTTTAATGGTCCAGTTAAACTGCACACTTCAGGTTCAGGAAAGTGAAGACAGAACTGGAGTGAATGCAAAAATCTTCTAGGAACTTCATTAAAAACTGCTGAGTTCTATCTTTTCTCTTTGATCGGTTGATGTTTGTGGGGAGGCAGGATCTTCATATGTATCCCTGTCTATCCCGGGACTCATTGCCTAGATCATGCTGGCATCCAACTCGGTGAAGCACACCTGTTTCTGCCTTCTAAATGCTGAGATTATAGGCTTTAGGCAGTACATTCAGCTTGTCCACCTTTTTTTTTTTTTGTAGTTAGTAATTGTGCATACAATGTCTCTGGTGTTTACTCAGTACTGCTAATCTGTTTGCTCGTCTCTCTTTTTTTAAAAGTCTGTTAATTCGCATTTGTCTTGCAAGCCTATATCCCAGTCACAGGGCACAGAAATGACAGGGGTGAACCTCTTATTCAGTTTTCTTCTAGACTGACTTTGTGATTACTTTAGAATTTATGTGTTATGGAATAAGTCTGGTAAGCACCAGAAATATATGAATATATTGCCAAAGAAGAATACATTTGCACTATTACTTACTATCATGTTTTTTATTGTACACATGTGTGGAATATTTTAGAATGCAATGACCTATGATGATGTGCATGTCAACTTCACTCGGGAAGAGTGGGCTTTGCTGGATCATTCCCAGAAGAATCTCTACAAAGATGTGATGCTGGAAACCTATAGGAACCTCACTGCTATAGGTAAGACTGAATTTTCCTTCACTTTTTAAAACAAGGGGACAGCTGTTTCTTGATTATTGATGCTCTTCCGTCATTTCTGTTGAGAAAGAAGAATGATTTGAATAAATCACGTGGGGTTCTAAGGTTCGTTGAAGATAATAAATTACATTTTATATAATTTCCAATAATATATCATACATTTTCTTTTACTATATTTTAGGCTACAATTGGGAAGACCATAATATTGAAGAAACTTGTCAAAATTCTAGAAGACACGGAAGGTAATTTTCATGTACAAGTGATACAAATGTGCCTCTGAAGAAATTTTAATGTGTCCTGGAAATTTTAAGGGAAACAGCAGTGTGAGGAAGCACAGCCTTGAGTTTATTGATGATTCTCAAATTCTCACTGAATCATTTACCTCAGTGTCAGCGAACTGATTTGTGTTTGTATGTTACTCTTTTAAGAAGGAAGACAAGGAAACAAATCCTTAACAGATACCACCATGTGAATCAGCCCCATGCGAGCTGTGCTGTAGAACTGCCCATTCATTTAGTTTCAGACTACTGAGATATTACTAAAGGTATATACATGGAATAGATGATAAGTATATGTCCAAAATCTTGTAAAAACTAAATAGCTCGTAGTAAAGCTGGTGTTACACATACACTTGTAGCGACTTTGCTAAATTTAGTGAAAGGGGAACTTTATGAGAGTCAAGAAAGCTGTGGAGAAACCTTAATCCCTATGTCACCTCTCCTTGAGGAACATAAAGTCAATCTGTGTAAATAAATGCAATGTGGAAAACTTTTATTTGCTATTCTTCCTTTACGAGGTATATCATATGTCACTGTGGGCACAAGCCCTATGAGCATAGGGATATGGAAAAAGTAATCTCTTTCCTAGAGTAATTAGAAGTTATGTAGTAGCCCCCACATTAAGTAGACTTGTTGGAGGTGATGCAAGTTTACATTTAATTAGGTTTTTTTTTTTAACTTCATTGGGAATACATCAATAAACTACACTGCAGAAAAGCTCTGTGAGTATTAGCAATGTGGCAATTCTTTGGTTTGTCCTGGTCCACTTTGTAAATGTATGATTCACAGTATAAGAGTATTTGTGAATGTGGGATGTCAAAGCTCTTGAGTTTTTCCAGTTCTCTTCAGATATATGAAAAAACTCATATAAATGATGCTATATGTGAGCCTTGTAATAAAGACTCTTAATATCATAGGACTCTTCAAAGACTCAAAACAACCCGTAAGAAAGGGGACAGCATGAGTTAAATACAGTGATAAAACCTTAAGATCTGATTTCTCTTTACAATTAGACCAAATTGTACAACTAATTCATTCCGGCAAAAAAAAAAAAAAATCATGAGTGTAATGTTGTGCTAAAACTTTTACATGTGCCAATTTTCTTCACAGCTATGGAAGAAGTCTTGCTGAAGAGAAACCCTGTGAATATACTCAATGTGCCAAGGTGTTTCCATCTCACAGCCATCTTCAAAGGCATGAAATAATTCCTAGAGGAAGAAAACGCAATGAATGTAGTCAGTGTGGGAAAGTCTTTGCAAACCACAGTTATCTCCGAATACATAAAAGAACACACACTGGAGAGAAACCCTGTGAATGTAAGCAATGTGGTAAAACCTTTGCACATCTCAGTAGTCTCCTAAGACATAAAATAACACATACTGGAGAGAAACCCTACAGATGTAATCAGTGTGATAAGGCCTTTTCACAACCCACTAGTCTCCAAATACATATAAGAACGCATACTGGAGAGAAGCCCTATGTATGTTATCAATGTGGTAAAGCCTTTTCACAGCACAATATTCTCCGAGTACATAAAAGAACGCATACGGGAGAGAAACCCTACAAATGTAATGAATGTGGTGAAGGCTTTGCACGTCACAGTCATCTTCAAAAGCATGAAAGAATGCATACTGGAGAGAAACCCTACAAATGTAATGAATGCGGTGAGTCCTTTGCACGTCACAGTTATCTTCAAAGGCATGAAAGAATTCATACTGGAGAGAGACCCTATGGATGCTCTCAATGTGGTAAAGCCTTCGCACATCACAGTTACCTCCGAGTACACGAAAGAACACATACTGGAGAGAAACCCTATGAATGTAGTCAGTGTGGCAAAGCTTTTGCACGTCACACTAGTCTCCGAATACATAAAAAAATTCATAGTGGAGAGAAACCCTATAAATGTAACGAATGTGATAAAGCCTTTTCAGAACACAGTTATCTTCGAATTCATAAAAGAATTCATACTGGAGAGAAACCCTACCAATGTACTCAGTGTTGTAAAGCCTTTGCACATCACAGAAGTCTCCAAATACATAAAAGAACACATACTGAAGGAAACCCTGTGAATGCAAGTAATGTAGTTAACCCTTTGTATGTAACATTAATCTTTGAAGTCATGAAGAAAAATCTTACTGGAGAGAAACTCTAAAAATGTAGTCCGTGTAGTAAAGTCATTGCCCTTCGTGAGTCTTTGTGCAAGAGGAAAACCTTTAGTGTAATCAGTCTGTCATAGACTTTGCGTGTAACAGTAATCTTTGCGACCCTGAAAGAACTCAGACTAAAGGAAAACAAAGGGATTGCAAAGGATTTGGTAAGAACTTTAGCCAACACACTTACATTCAGTAAAAGAAGATTTTTTATTCTGAAGAAAAAATTCTGCCAAGTGTCAACAGTCTGTTTAAGTATGACGATGTACCTCATTATTTTATTTGCTCCTGTAAACTCATGTGGACAAAAGCCCAATGAATTTAAATGATAAGGTAACCTTTTTGATTTCACACTTCTCTTCAATTACATGAAATAATTCATCCAGGTGTGGCCCCTCCACATCTTCCACTCGTCCTCCTCCTCTTCCTCCTCCTCCTCCTCTTCTTCCTCCTCCTTTTCCTCTTCCTCCTCTTCTTCCTCCTCCTCTTTTTCCTCCTCCTCTTTCTCCTCCTCCTTCCTTTTTTTTTTTTTTTTTTTTAATATTACATGTAGCCGTAAGTGTCAGCACCATGCAGAACCCCTTTGGGTGGACAGTCCTTGGACTTTAAAACACCTCGGTCCCCACACTCTCATCCCTGTCACCTTCCTTCCTGGTAGGAATAAGAATATACTAAAGAGATATTTATATGTCTCCCTTTGGCTAAGAACTTATGAAACAATGGATGCCATGAAATTCTAATTTCCCCAGAGTCTCACTCTGGGCAGAGACTGAGTCCTCCAGAAGAAAACTCCGTTGAAGACACATTTACTCCTTATCTGAATACTTTGCACTGGAGAAAGCTGAGAATTGGGAGGGATTTAGGGATGAAAAATAATTCATTGTATGGCTTAGATTACTTGTGCATATCTCTTGCCATCTATCTAAACCTGTTTGCACTCCCAGGATCAGTTGGTTACCTTGTGTCATCTTTGTTACAGATTATTCACACTGAATAAATATGTTTTCATTTTTTCTTATTTGTTTTTTCTTTTCTATTGTTTATTTATTTTAAGTGAATAGTTTCACTATGAATGTCTAGCTGGCCTGAAACTCACTCTACAGTCTGTCTTAGGACATCACAGGGATCTGCCCACCTTGTCTAGAGAGTGTCTGCATTATAGTGGACATGTCACAGTCGATTACTTGGTTCTTTTAATTGGCCTAATAACGATGAGTGTCTGAACCTGGTTGGTTATGGTAGCCACAGCACAGCCTCTGGTCCTGTCTCCATTAACAGAAGAGGCTCTCATCAAATGCAGCCCTCCTGCTTTAAAGTCCACTGTCGTCTTTGAGCAGTATTATTTTTCTTTATCATTGAGTGTTATATCTCATCAATGGACCAGTTCAAAGTCCTGTTCTTATTCTACAGATGGTGAAACCCAGGCTCGCAGAGCTAGGCTTTGAATATAGTTAAGTGTAACTGCCTGTCTTACTCTCCTGACATTCTAACACCTCACTAATGAAGCCCGAGCCACCTAAGCCAGGCTTGATGGCTTAGAAAGATGTACTTAGAAAGTGGAGTCAGGAATTACAGGATCTCAAAGTCATCTAAGGTGAGAATGGTCAATGGGTTATTGTAGGAACCTTTGTAGGAGGCCCACAGAACCTAGGGAGACTGTGATTGTCTTGGGCCAGTGTCCACAGTCTTCCCTGCAGCAGCAGAACTTCAGGTCCATCACACTAGCAAGTGTTAGAGGTGTTTGCCGCTCAGTGTTTTCTGTTTTTGATGTTTCCTGTCCAACGCAGCCTAGGTCACTTCAGGGTCAGAATTCTGCTGATCATTAAAGAGTGGAATTCTCCCACAGGTGGGAGAATTAGTCTCAGGCAGGAATGAGCTCCCTAATTACATATCCAAATGCGATGTGTTCAGCCTGAAACCATATACACACAGCTAAAAGAAATGGACTCAGTCAGCTGTATTCATGTATTTGTGCATACTTATTCACACATACTTCTCAAGCAACTGGAGGGGGGCAGTTTGGGAAGGGATGGAGAGGACAAGAAAGGGAGAAAGTGATGTAATATTTTGTTGGGGTCCGAGGCCAGCCTGGACCTAAAATTATCTCTTGGACCAGCAAGGGAATGGGAATAAAGACACAACTCACATGACTTTTATCAGGAGGGAGTTTTTAGGGATCCCTCATGAGCCCTGAGTTCACATCCTGAAAAATCACCCGCGTTTATTCTCCAAACAGCTTTTATACCAAATCGTAAACTGAGGGGGAAAGTTATTAGCATTTTGTTTCCTAGGTAACCAGGAGAATGACTGTGGTCGTGTCCACACCTCTCTACTTCCATTTTGTCACGACTTCCTATCTTCCTGCTCTGTATGTCTGATCTGAATTAACACCTCTTTAAACTGAATTAACACCTCTTTCCCAGGCGACCTCCCAAATTAGAAGGAGCAGAGCGACATTAGCATATCCTGACCCTTTGTTTTGGACGGTGTGAGTTTGTCTCAAAAGGCTAGGCAACCACCTTCTGCGTGGCAGGTGCAAACTGTGGCCTGAAATTTTGGTTGCCATACCGTATAGAAATATGGGCCTGTATAATAGGGCTCCTATAATACTTTTAATTAAAATATAAAAATAAATTTTAAATTAAAAAGTGGCTAGAGAGACAGTACTGATTGACATTACAGGCACACGGGTTCCATTCCCAGAAAACTGGATAGGCTAGTTATAGCCTCCTGTAACTCCACTCCTAAGGCCCTCTTCTGGCCTCTGCAGGTACTGTGCGCAGACATGCTGGCAAACATCTATATACATAACATAAAAATAAAGTTAAAAAATGGAACTCTTGTGATTGAAGAGATTGCTCAGTACTTAAGAGCACTGACTGGTCTTCCAGAAGATATCGGTCCAATTCCTAGCTCCCACATGACAACTCACAACTGTTTGTAACTCAAATTCCAGGGATCTGACACTCTTGGCAAAACACCAGTAGACATAAAATAAAAATGAGTAAATAAGATTTGTTTAAAAAGAAAGCAAAATTCTCTATGGTGATGTCACAATCCTGAGAAAGGTAGCAGTCAGTGCTAGGTAAGATGAACTCTATCCATTACTGCATGGAAGCAACTGTGACCTCCCCCCCCTAAGTCAGCATTCTCAGAGGCAAAAGCAGCCTCGTTCTGAGATTTGGCTAGCTTGGCCAAATCTTTGTTCATCTAAGACCAGTATCGACAGTGCTGATAGGGGTGTTTCCTTGACGATTTCTGTATTTGTATTCTCTGTTCTTTGTATGTGTCAGAATTGTCGCATTGATACTTTTTTTTTTTTTTTTTTTTTTTTTTTTTTTTTTTTTTTTTTTTT